ATATCCTAATTTTTCCACTTCTTTGAACCACTGCATTTTTTTTCTCATTTTCTTTTCATCTTCAAGCTTTTTCAAAAATAGGTAATAGTTGCTAATGGGAGAAGAAAAATAAGCAGTATCTCTATTAACTCGTTCAGAGTAGCCAGCATTGCTTGCGTTACACTCTTGCTGCAAACACTTCAACCTCTTACAGTTTAACCTGCTCCTTCAGCTTTTGAAGGTTGAACTGACTTCCTAATTTCTATATTTTAAAGCATTTTTTGATCTGTTCCCATCTCCCCTGATGTCTGTAAAGCATTTGGCACCCATGACCTGCTTCAGTTGGCACTGCCCATCGTGGTTCTGTGTCACCTCTGACCACTTGTCCTTTTTCCCCTTTCCCCTTGAGACTAGGATGCTCCGTGGTTGTGTTCGCGACAGCCTTCTCTTTGCCATCTGCAGTTTGTACCTTGGAGATTTCAGCCAGCCCCATAGCATGAATACCAGCTATTAAGTGACTCCCAGTGTAATTGGCAAACAATTGTTGAGCAAAAGGCACTGTGCTGAGTACTAAACTTTCAGAGGTGATCAAGGCATAGACCGGTCTCTCAGAAATCTTACCATCTGCTAGAGGAGAGAGAAATGTACCAAAAGCATTGTTTCTGGCAGCATCGTGTATAAGGAAGAGCACTGGCTTTAATCAGAAGGTGGGAATTTGAATCCCGACTCCACCTCTTGCCAGCTGGTTTCCCTGGTGTGAATGGCGTGACTCCTCTGAGCCTGTTTCTTCTTGTACCGCCTAGCTCCCAGGCTTGCTGTGAAGAGCAAACGAGCGGTAGTTTCTGAGGCACCTCACCCCTGCTCGGATACCTCTTCCAAGCTGCGTTTCCATCTGCTTGTTTAAACATCTCTGCTGGTTTGTCAGACAAGCACCTGTAGCATACGAAGTCTAAATTGTTCTCAGTCAGTTCTTTGTTTTTATTTACCCCTTTCTGCTCATCGTACCAACATGTATTCCTGCATTTAGATTCAAGATGTTCCTTCTCCTTAACAAACCATGTAATACCTTCCCCTGCCGAGTCCTTGTCTCTTCTTCCTTTACGTCATCACTTGTGTTAGATCCTTCCTTTCCGTTCCCTCTGCCATTAAGCCCAGTTCAGATCTCTTTCAAATCATACCTAGAATATTGTGCCATCCGAATTGGGCTCCTTCTCTACTTTGCAACCCATTTGATACACCTCATGAAGCACCACTCCAGTTCTTTAACTCTTCTACTCAGAAACCTTCAGTAACTGCTACATTGCCTAACAGATAAAAATCTATCCTCTTGGTAAGCAATTAAGGCCCCCCCACCATCTGCTGCAGCCTGACTTTGTAGCCATCTCTCTCACTATACTCAACACAAATGCTGTGTTCCAATCAGGCTGTTACTCACTGTTCCCTGATAGTCTGCTGTTAATACTGTGCTCAAACCATTTCCCCTCTAGTCCTCCATCCTTTTTACCTCTTAAAATCTTCCCCATCTCTCAGAGCTACCTCACCTGTACCCAGATCTGTGATGGGACTCCATCGAGGGGGAACTCCTTAGTGTAAACTTGGCTGGCTTCTTTGAGCTGGCCATCATCTGCCGCTTAACACCCCACTATTTCTGTGCTCCAACTCTAGTAAATTACTTGCGTTTCTGCAGACCTACCATAATCTTTCATAATTCCATTTAGTAAGTGTTTGTGGAATGATGCTACCTTTCTTAATTTCTCCAAGTAGAAGTCACCCTTTTCTTTAGAACTGTGGTTAGAGCAGGACTTAGCTTGTCCTGTATGAAACTTAGCAGGTTTACTGCTTTCTGTTATATGAACTACCTCCCCTTCTTGAAGCTAGGGACTGTAGCCCGTGTAACTTTGTGGTCTGCAGTATGGCATGTACATTTAAGTACTAAAATACTTGGTGGCGGTACACACTCTTTTATATTAAACTAGAAGCACAGTGTCACAGAATGCCAGCCTCTCTGTCCCCTGTGACCCACTCACGGCCTCCCTGTGGGGGTCTCTTCACTCCAGGTCTATCGGTGTACTTGCTCCTGTTGCCTTTTCATTTTGGTTAACTCCTTCTGGGCATTCTTTTCACCATCTTCGATCTGGCTGTTGGGGTGACTGCTAAATTGAATGCTAATTCAGACCTGGATGTTCACCTATAATTATGAATGTTCTTCAGGTCAAAAGTTAAAATCACCAGGACTGTGATAATTTGTGCCTTATTTATTCCCAGTCTTCAGGTTTGCGCTACTTTTTGGTCCTAAACTTGCCTGTGGGATTATTAGTCTTTTCTAGTTTTCAGCACTCATGGTGATTCTTCTAGAAAATGTTTTGGAATTAATCTAAAAACTTGTAGGTGTTTTTTCCCGCCATAATTTATATAAATTAGCCTTATTTTTAATTTTTTAATCTTATTTTACCACTTAAATAAAAAATCAAAGAAATTTTGTTTATGAAAATTAATTTATTTTTCTTTCAACAGTGACATTGTAAAGAAGATTGATCAGTCTGAATTTGAAGGTTTTGAGTACATTAATCCTCTTTTGATGTCTGCAGAAGAATGTGTCTGAACTTCTCAACTATGCATTTTGCTTGTGTTGCCATTTAATGCATGGGTACACTTGTTAGCAGCCTGGATGCAATGAACCATCTTATATTTTTCACCTACAAAACAGAGTATTCAATAGTTGTTGACTATAAGAGTCAATTATTACATCTCAGTTTAACTGTGAAAAAAATTAGTTTCCAGGCAATCGTGTCAAAAGTTGGTTACACTGGTAATCCAGCAACCTACTGATGAATAATAAAGTTGTCTTTTTTGTTTAAAGGAAATACTTACCTAAAAAGAGTATCTATTGCATTAAGACACATGGTGGGATTATATCATGAGCCTCCCATGATTGTTGTCACACTAGTAAGTAATTTAAGTTGGAATAAAAGAGCAATTCAGAACAACTTGCTTTATTACCTATTACTTTCTGATGGTTTAAAATTCAGCTGTAAATTTTATCATTGCCTTGGAAAATTAAATTATTGATTTTTAAGGCAATAGTTATTAAATTGGTAATAAAAGATGTCGCTTGCTTAGAATTGGGGAATATAGATTCTCCTTGAAAAAAATAGGCACATTTTACTAAGAATCAGATTCCAAATCATTAGCTGTTTTTGAAAAACTGATTCAAGTTATTTCTGTAGTATATTAGAGGGTTAGCTTCTTGGATTGTCCCTTTAACCAGAACTTAACTGGAATATTAATAAATGTAGTTCCAAGGACCCAGGATGCAGTTAAATGGAACATTTCTCATATATTAAAAGGAAAAAATTAGAAACTTAAAACAGACACAGAAAATTAAACTGTAATATTTATTTCTTATTGGAGGGTAAATCCCACGGTTGCTTTTTGTGATTTTATTTAAATAATAAGGAAGCACTCGTTACCAAACTTGTAAAAGCATTCCGTTATCCAGTGGACACAGAATGTATACGATTTTTTCCTTGTAATTTAGTATACAGGAAAATAATTTATCTTCCAAATGGTGTCTTAACCTTGCTTGTTTCTTCTCCCAAACCACATTATCCATACTTTTGGACCCTGTTTATGGAGTCATCAATGAAATCCAAGAAAAATAATAAAATGAATAAATGTTCAGGACATGCACATATATTCACATTCATCACAGTTCCAGCTCCTTCAATGAGTTTTTGTTAAGTGGGTAACACATGTAATCAGAATAGAATACATTTCAGAGGCAGAGTTCTTCAGATTATATTTTATTAATATTAGTGTTTAACAATTTATTATTTAAAGTGATGCCAGTGATAGCATCCTTCTGTTTATTTTTAAATATTTTTTTATTAAAAGGGATTTTAAAAATAACCATGATCATTTAAATTACTTACAATTGTCCAATCTTAGTAAAATGTAATTTTTAGAAGAGCTATCTAGTCTTAAATTTAGAATGATTTAAAATATATAGGCATTTAATAAATTATCTCTTTTTTTAGATGCTGCATTTCATTTGAAATGTAATTTTTCCAAAGTTTCTGGCCATGTACTCTCTTTTCTTCTAATAACTAAGTCTGAAAGCAGTGAACACCTCAAAGGAAATACATTCACACATTTATTTAACTGGTGTATGTGTTTCTCTTAATACCTGAAACTTGTTTTAAAACAAAAAGCAGTAGTCACTTCAAATCATAAACTTTTAGAAAATTCTGGCGTCTTATGTCGGAAATATGTTTGTGATCTTGCTTTTAAGTGGTACTGTTTCCCTTCGGGCATTAGTATCTCAGATGTTAGAATGTGGAATAATCACCTAGTAAGTTTGTTTAAAATGCACATTACTGGGCCCACCTTAGAATTCTGTTGGGTCTTTGGACCTCATTTTGAAAAAGACTTTAAATTCTCCGAGTTATTTTTTTATTTTGTCCTTAGAGCATTCGAGTATTCATGATAAAATATTTTGCAAAGGGTAGACAGTGAGTTACTATCTTGTCTACAATTTTAAATAAATTTTGAATGAAAGACATCTTCAAGTTAGATATCTTCTCAAAAAAAACAATCCATCAGTTTTCTATCAGTAATGTTACAAATGATGAGCATTTTTCTGTGATGAGGTTTTAACCATTATTCAGGGTGGCCTTTTGTTTTTAAATCTTTTTTTAAACTAATAAAATTGTGTATATTTTATACAGAATTGCATTACAAATATGTTTTTAATTGTATTCTGTTTTTTGTAGTCTTTATGTGCCATTGCCAATTCTTTTTCTATTACATAGATGTTTTCTCAAATTACTCACCAGGGGACTAAGGCAGTTGAGAGTCAGAATGGTTGGAATTTTGGTGTTCTAAGAAAAAATCTCTTTTGCAGAAGCATGTGTGTGGTCAGGTCATTTTATGTGTGTGCAGCCTGAAATGGATATCGGGTATTGTGCTTGTTTAGTGCCTATACATTTACTTTTAAATTTTTTTAATTTTGATTTTTGTCTTCGTATAATGTAATCTGTATTTGTGTACCTTTTTTTTACTTTAAAATCTTTAAATAAAATGTTTAATACTCATCAAGATTGGAACATTTTTAATATGTAGCATATCAGAGTGTTGTGTTTGGAATTTCACTGCACTTAGAGCAGCATTCTGGTAGTTCTGATGCCATATTATAGACATTTGCTCATAAAATATTAGTCCGTGTATTTTTAAACTAACCCTTCTATGAATCTCTTATCTTGAAAAACAAACTAGTGAAAAATCAAGTGAACATAAAGCGTTTTAACTAGTTTGAAAACTGAACCAAATTTAGACAGATTCAGAACAGTGTGTTCTACAGTGATCTGTTCTGGAGTTCCAGAACTTCTCTTTCCGCAGTTGTAGCCTAGTGCCCATACATAAACAAGCATGAACTCAGTGTCCCACACTTAGGATCCTCTTCACCATAACTTAGTGTTTCCCTTTACAAGGAGAGTGAAATCTTAAGTGCTTTTTAAATTGACTTGTCAGATAGCTAGAGCCTGTATATTAAAACCACCAAAGATGACCTCCTGTGTCTTCTCTATTATTTTATCCTAATATCCCCTGTACCAAATCATAAATTTGGTTGTTTTCTTTGAGTTAGTAAATTCCCAAAATGGAGTTTGAAGCTTCAGGGAAATTTTATATTCAGGCAAATAGTAGGGCAGCCAGTTTCTCCCTGAAAAGTCAAGTCAATCTCCAGTCTTTAAAATCCAACAGCTTGGTTTCTTGTCAACACCCAACAGCAAGTCATTTGGCGTATTTGATGGCCTCCCTTCATAGGTTTACCCTCGTCTCCTCTAGGACTTCAGGAATCAGTTAAAACCCAGATAGTCTAAGTAGTTTGTATCCAAAGTATATTGTTCTAGCAGGTACTGGAATTTCCAATGCCTGGTGCTAAATAAGGCTTAAAAAAGAGAATGTCTGCCCTTGACATTCAAGAGAGAGCACAGACACACTGAGAAAGATGGTTATTTCCGCAACAAATAGTCCAGTGATAAAAGCCAGAAAAATGTCATAAAATATGCATTATGTGGTCATGAAAGGTTATCACCTTTACCAGTGAAACTTGTATGAATTTTACTTGATTTTCATATAAAATTGATCCTTGCTCTAAAGTTTTCAAATGTATTGTACATAATAAGAACAAAATCTTAGATCTAGAGAGATTCCCCCCTCTGTATACACACACACACACATAGTATTTCTATATATAAGATCATTTTTGGCTTTTGTGCTCAGAAATATGAATTGGAATTGGGAGAGAAAATTGTCAGATGCTTCTGCTTAGATTAGCATTTGTACAGTTCATCTCTGAAATTTATAATTAAGATGAATCCAGCTCAGAACTTGGAGTGATTTTTGGCTTGAAATCTGGCAGTGCAATTCACCTTTGTGTAGCAATTTGTGCCTTACTGACATTAACACTGTATTTTTATTCCAATGACTTTTTAATGTTTTTATTGAAAAAATGGAATTACAAATTTTCTAAGAATTAAGTGGCTGTTCAGTGTGATCTTTAATAGGCTGTCTGACAGTTAAGCCCCATACCAGATGGATTCACGAGAGAGAGCTTTAGCTCAAGTTTTCATTGACAGTTTAGCTGGTCAGAAGCAAATTCTAATTGTGTAAGAAAGAACCCCTTGGGGGGAAAAGGAGCCCGTTGAAAGTCTCTAGCAAAATCCTTGAAAAGTTAGGTGCTTTGTTTTTTTCCATAAAAGGGAAGTACTGTGTTTTGAGAGGTAGTACTGGGTACCTAGATTTAAACCTTCCATGATGTAAACTCTGCAATGTGGGGGTTTATACTTAGTGACTTTTTGTTATTCATAATAAATTTAGGGAAAAAAATCATGTAAAGATAGTTAAATACAGAAACCTAATTCTTTTTTTCACATTGAAGTACAGTTAGTTACAATGTGTCAATTTCTGGTGTACAGCACAGAGTCCCAGTCATGCATATGCATACATATATTCGAGAAACCTAATTCTAACTCACATTTTATGGTCTTTTCCAGAAACAACTTTTCCTAAGTAAAATGTTTTTCTCCACACTCGATTTTTACTTAAAAGCCAGATTTTTAAATTTAAAGGTAATGAAAGTATGTGCATTTGTGAGCCTTTTGGAAGTTTACTCAGTTTGAAATATTTTAATGAAGAAATCTGAATCAGTGAATCAATCTAATAAGACTTGATATTTTGCTAAATTATTCTTACCTTCTTTAAAGTTTTAATTCATGTATTTATTGAAGACTTGTAATTCAGCGCTGTGCTTATTCTACAGGATTTTAAAAAGTTTTATTGTAAGGAATTTTGTATGTGTGTGTGATACAAGGAATAAATTCATTCCTGAAAATTTGGCTTAAGTTTAGAAGAAAAAAAAGTCAGTGTGTCTGTTACCCCTTTAGGTAGGGGAGATTTCCAATAGTTAAAATAAAAATTAACATTCTGCCCCCGAGTAGTGAGGTCTGAAAAATGGATGTGAGACAGCAGCATCTCTGGTTGCATCTCAGAAGGGTGATTCCATCCGCTTCACCACCAGGGGCCAGTGTCTTGCTGTAATGAAGGTCAGAATCACCAGCGCTCGCCCTCTGGAGGATCCCGTGTACGCACTCCAGGACAGTTACCAAGAGGGTCCAGGATTTCATCAGTGCTCATCATGTGTATTTTGATTTTACAGAACTATTAAAGTTCAACATTTGAATTGCTCTTTTGAAGGAAATCTCACATAGTTACCTGGCAGTCTGGCAAGTTTTCATAGAACTGCTTTGCCTTCTTATCTGTTCTGGGTGTTAGACCTCCCATATTTGTTCAAGACAAATGAAGACTCACTGGGTGCTGGGCACTGGAGATATATCAAGCAAGAGTCTAGTTACGTCATATTTCATGCTGTCTGGGTATTTTTCCATCTATGAAAGATACCTTTAGCTGAAAATAAAGAGCCACAGCTGACTTTAGTCATTTAAATATAGTGGAGTTCAGTTAAAACAAATGCAAGAAATTGTCCACATTCTTTACTTGTGGAACTTCCTACGTCTACTATTCCATGGCATCAGATTTAACCCCTTGAAGTTTGTAGACATTCAGATAATCCATTAAAAACATGATTTCAGGAGAGTTTTCACTATGCTGCTATTTGTTCACAAACACTGAACACTTGTGTTGGAAGTAAATAGCTGAAAGCAGCAGTCTGCCAAGGAAAGCCATTTTCCTGCTAATCCCGTTGAAAATGAATTCCCAGCATACTTCAGTTCCAGGCGGTTATTTACTTCATTGCCCAAAATAACTGATCATACAATGTGTCGTGAGTTGCATTAAACAACCTCACACCTTCTTCTTCACAGGTTTTTTCATCAACAACTTTTTAGATTCATTGTGTTGTTGACACCACTTTATAATTTGCACATTGTTAGTTGGCGGTACGGGTAACTAGGAAGAATGAAATCTGTCCACTTAGAAAGGATTCTTTATAAGACTTCCTTGTGGTAAGTCTGCCTTTTTGTTATATTCACTAATGTGTTGTACTTTTTAGATTCCAAATGTAGGTGATATCACAGAGGACAACCTTGTGGTTACCAGTGGGGGAGTGGGGAGGGAGACATAGGGGTGGAGGATTAACAGGTACAAACTATGAGATATAAAGTAAGTGACAAGGATATATTGTACAACATGGGGGATATAGCCAATATTTTATAATAACTATAAGTGGACTAGAACCTTTTTAAATTGTGAATCACTATATTGTACACCTATAACTTATATTGTACAACAACTATACGTCAGTAAAGATTAAAAAAACATTTTACAAAAAATGGGGAATAGATAAATACATTTTTACAAATTTCTGTAGTGATAGAAGAAAACGAAAGAAAATTCCTTTTTGTATTTCGAAATAGAGAGAAAGCTTGTACCTTATGATGAGACCTGACAACTTTTACTTCTGTTTGATTTTCAGTGATGCCAAAGGAAGTTAATTTTCCCAAAGAAAGTTGCTCCTTGCTGTTGGGTCCACCCAAATAGAAATACTATTTATGGATTTTAATAGCTGACATGGGCAGGCATGTGCTAAACATTTTGCACGTATCAATCAATCCTCTGTTTCCCATCCCAGAGCTACTGAACTGAAATCTGTGTAGGCGGGATCTCAGGTGGTCCCAAGTTAAATTCGGAGAACCACAAACTTGTATTAACATGTACTATTATCATCATTCAACAGATGGGGGAAAAAGTACAGATTTAGGGAGGTTAATAACTTACTTTAGGTCCACATGACTCCCAGTGCCTATTGCCTCTCAAGACAGTTTATGTAAAGTTTGCTCTAAATTCTGTCTCCTGAGAAGTTACACACAGCTAATTAATGAACTGTTCTTTAAATGCTATCTT